GTTGAACATTTGGAATGAATTAAGACTTTAAATTTCCAGATGTTTAAACTACTACTGTAAATTCAAACTCATTAAAAAGGGCAGATTTACTACCTCTACTTAGTTTTGAAGTCTGTTGTTCACCCTGTCCAAATAATTTATGAAACCAAATACAGTGGCAGGCAGTGTATTCTATTTATGTAGTATTCATGGTGAGAAATAAAGGGCATTTAAAAAAGTCTGGAAACTAACTGCCATTTTAACCAACCTATAGATCACACTTATTGTTGTTTCTAAGCTAGTAATTGTTTCCTGAAACCGATCTAGTAGAGATTTTTATGCTAATCTGTACTAAAAATTACTTTGCTTTTTCTGGCCACAAAAAGCTGGCTACAGAGGAGCATTTGATTACAGCAAGAAGACAGCTGCACCCACTCTTGTGAAATAAATGGACCTGGATCTACAGTCCTTTGTGGTAGTGTCTTGGCAGCCAAACAAAGGTGGCAGCATTTCTACACCCAGTTTGTGAAGTCTCAGAAGTTTCAGGCTTTTTTTTTTTTTTTTTTTTTTTTTTTTTTTTTTTTTTGCAAAGAACCCATGTTGACTATAATGAGCACATTCTAGAGATGCTGTGCTGAAAGCTGGCAATGGATAAAGCAGGAACATAAAAGAAGCCTATTCCTAAAGCAAATATTTCTTTTATAAACCATAAGAATGAAGTGGCTTTCATAATCAATTTTAAGATTGAAGGATTGAAATATCTGGCTATGGCAACTTATTAGCTATATAATTTGGGGCAATTCATTTACCTCTGTGAGCTTGACTGCTCAACCAAAAAATGGGGATAATAAGTTGCTTTTTTCGGAGAACTTGAATGATATAGTCACAGTGCTCTGTAAGCTCTAAGGTATCATACAAATATTAATAAACACTGCAAGTACAACCTTCCTGCTTTATGAATCACTCACTTTCAATAGCACTTAAAAAGTAGCTGTCCCTAAAATTATACAAAACTAGATCCAATTAAGTCACTGCAGAGGGACTGGCCTCAAGAAGGGTCTCTTTCAACACAATTACTATTTATCTCAGGGTTTTTGTTAAGAATTAAATAAAAATGACACAAAATTACTAATAAGGTGTTTGCTCTCATTTTTCAGGTAACACATCCTAGTTAGGCTTCAACTATGTTAACTTTTTTTTTTTCCCAAAAATGTGAGTGGACATGTCAAAAGCAAAAATTCTTCCAGTTAGATTAGCTGAATCTTAAATCTAAATCTATTTTCTGGCATATTTTGCCAACTGTTTGAATACAGCATTTTTTAAAAAACTGCACATGCTTTTATAGATGGCCTGTCTTCTTTACTTTTAATTTTAATAAATTCGATTCACTTAACTCTGTAAAGTGTGTTTACGTATAGTTACAAATAAGTACAACTGTACTTCTGTAACTTGTACTTGCAACTCAAGACTGCAAGTGCCAGTGAGTGAGAAAGCGCAGCCCTTAAGCCTGGCACACAGTCGGCATTCATCTAATATTTGTGGAATATTCACATTAATTCATAAGTAATCACAACACCCACAACTTTCTATCTAATCTTGCGAAAACGACAATCCCAGTTTTATGTGACCCAATGACTCCATCTATCTTCAAAGACCCAGAGTTTGTAAAAATGCATTTAATAAATTAGGGTTTGGGGGCTTTCACTACAGTCCCAAATTAATTTAGAGAATATACAGATTATAAAAACAAATGATGGGCACCTTAAAAGCTTGACCAATGCTTGTTGCATGGCTGTTTTGCATACATGATTATGGCAGACTGCAAACAGAGCTGCATTTTGCAGCTTGTCTTTTCAGGATGAGGAGCCGATTTCCTCACGCCTTGAATCTGGGCCAGCCTCATGACCTCCTGTGACCAAAAGAATGTGGTGAAAGTGATGTTCTGTGAGTTCTTGAGCTCAGGCTTTGAAGCTCCTGCCTTTGCCTCCTTGGTACTGAGACCACTATGCCCTAAGCCCAAGGTAAAAGACCACATGGAGAGGCCCAGCTGTTCCACCCAGCCCCCAGCCAATCTGCCAGCAGGATGCAGAGTACCCACATGACACTAGCAAAAGAACCACTCAACCAAGCCACAAAACTGAGAAACGAGATGAACTGGTTTTTTTAAGCTGCTAAGTTTTGGGATGTTGCCAAGCAGCCACAGGTAACTGATGATAAATTATCTACCCTTCATGGCATAACTATAAATAAGTGTGGTTTTTATTTTTATTATTTTTTTAAGTTTTTATTTAAGTAAATCTCTACACCCAAAGTGGGGCTTGAACTCACAACCCCAAGATCAAGAGTTGCGTGCTCTTTCGACTGAGCCAGCCAAGCGCCCCACGAATGTGGTTTTTATAGTTGAGGAAACATACCCAGGTTAAAAAATCTACCAAGGTCACACCACTCTGAAATATCCTAAGGACTAGAAGCAGGTATTAGAAGGCCGGCTCTGTTTCCTTCATTGTCATCCTGCCATCATGAACCTGATCAATTCTTTCTGCCAAAGACAGAGGCACCTCTTAGAGCTCTGACTCTAAGATAAACTCTGTTATCTTTTTTATAACCTGCACGAGTAACGTGTCCTGCTTTGACACATCCACCAGCCTTGTCCACGACAGGCAAATGCACTTCCAGCTATCATTAAGACCTGCACTCTGCAAACGCACCCCATTCCGTTTTCTGAAACTCAAATATAACACTAAGGTATCCCACATAATCCAATGACATCTCTGCAATTATATTCATGTGTTTACATTTTAGCCATCAACAATTACACAAACCCTGAAAATTTGTAACAGGGTCATACAGCATATAATATTTAAAAACATCAGTTAGATGAACCTTATTATTTAGTTATTAAAGAACCTTTTATATACCCCACGTAGTAAGCCATATACCACCCCCCCCCAAAAAAAACAAACCAAAAACCTACATTCAATTGTGAAGGAGATATTTTTGAAAAAACAATTTACCACAAGAATCTGTTTTGTCCCCACCAAAAATAATGTGCCTGAACTTTAAACAAAATTCACATTTTATTTAGGTTGAAATAAACTATACAAAATTGATTTTCTTCACCAAAAATAACAGTAATATTTTCTGTGTTATTCCTAGGTAAACCACAAAACACTTATTTCTGTAGGTTTTCCAGGTTTTGTTTAGAAATCAAGACGAGGCAGTAGATACAGTCATGGAAAAAGACAGAGGAAAACAGACAAATCAGTTGTCAGTATCCACGGCCTCTGATCCTGTCTTGACCATGAAACAGAGGTGTTCAACAAATACCTGCTAAAAAGCTTATGAAGATGTAGGCTCAACAAAGGAATGTAAACAGCAACAACCCAATGTGGACCGACAATGGCAGGCTAGCCCATTCAAACTCTAACTGTAACTTGTTCTTTTAAGTTCGTTTGATAAAGACAAAATCTACACTGAAATCCTTGCAAGCTCACATGTTTTCCATTCTCTCTCTCTCTCTAGCTGTCTGATAACTCCCTTAAATCTCCATTACAGATTTTTAACATACTTAACACTCCAGGTCACTCATGAGCTTCATTGTAACATTCTATAAAATATATTCCTTTCTCCCACACCTCTTCCAAATCTATTTCTTCTAAGAACTGATAACTCAATACCCGACAACTGGATCCAGTGATAATAAATGTTATGTCTAAAATGACTTAACTAAAACAATTCCAAAGTGCCATTAGCAGAGATCCCACAGAAATGTAATGTGGCACTTTCAACGCTATCTTCTGGAAGAACAGTTATGTCTCCAAAGCATAAGAGTTCAAACGGGGGCCATTTAAATAGGCAGATTATCAATGGCTAATGTACTCAATGGGAGGTCGACAGGTCAAGATATTCAGTGATTAAGTGGCCTACGTATACCTGACAGCTTTTCCGTAAGATGTTTTCAAATTTCTTACAGATTTTTCCAAATATCAAACATAAGAGAAAGCCTACTTTAAAAGTCTCCTAGGTATTTTCAATGGTTTCTGAGTTATCTGTAGGAAGCTCTGACTTAGTTGTATAGAGTTTGATATAGGTGTCCACCATTAAATCCAGATCATGTTTTATATCAAAATTTATGTTAAGCAAAGCCAAGTTACTTGACCTTTGGTCTGTCAAAGTGTTCCTCAGGTATGCTTTGAGACGCTTTCGCCCATTTTCATAGCGTTCATTCTCAACCTTCATCACAGGAAGAATGCATAGGACTTTCAGCAATGCATAAACATTAGGAAAAAACTTGATGTCTGGCAGATGCAGGGCTTCATAAATGGTGGATGGAAGCTCTATATCTTTCCCTCTGTGTTTCCACTTGATTCTCCAACAATGCAGCTCAGCTGAGAGTGTGTCCGGGTTGGGTAAGTCACTCCTGTACATGTCAGCATGGTGCTCCTCCGATGTATTAAATTTGAGCTGTCCCATGACAGAGGGCACCAGAGATAAACATTTAAGAGCTTTGAGGTGCTGTTCTGAGAATATATCTTTCAGTTCCTGAATAATGTGTTCCACTGTTGGGACACTTAGAGTTTCTTTATAGTAACTCTCGGAGGTTAGCTGAGATTCCAGGTTACCTTGCTGGGCTCTGCGGAACTTCCCAGGGAGCTTCATCTGAATATCAAGTTTAGTAGCCAAATTTGTGGCTTCTTCAAACCAAAATTCATGATAAACTTCGATATTTTCCATCACTTCATTCAGTGAATGCAGTACTGCAGTCAAGCTACTGGCTGCAAAGAAGACATCGGAGGTTTGCCCCTGGAGATTTTTCCCAAAGGCTCTTGTAAAAGATAGAACGTTTTTAAGAACAACAATGGTAACGACGAAATCAAAATCTGTTACCGCACTACAGAGTACAAATGCTCGGCCAGCTATATAGTTATTCCATCTAATGTTTGTGTCACTATTTATACCATCTAAACATAAAACAAGTGCTTGTAGGAGGTCCACTAAAATTTCGAAAGCATCGTGCCTACCTGTCCACTGAGAATGGCAAATTTCCTTGAGTTCTTTACCCTTTTCCTCATTGTTCTGAAAGAGGACAGAAATGACATTGTCAAGCTCTAAAAGCAGTTGTGGAGATCGATGGAAGAAAGAACAGACTTCCTCAATGGTTCCTAATGCAACAGATACTCCCACAACAGGCACGGATTTTGCCAACCACATATTTAAGGCACAGGAAGAGCAAAGTGTGTAGACAGCTTGGGGATATTTCTCTAAAAGCCTAGAAGCAACAACTTTCATTTTGGAAGAAAATCCACTGGACACAATGTAAGCCTGGCCACGACAATACTCCATGTTCAATCCCCACTTCTCAGTTATCGTGGTGTGAAATTTCACAGCCAAAATTTCTGCATCAGCTTCATAAGGCAAGAAGCCCACAAATTCCTCTCTCAGGTTATGAGACTCATCAACAAACCTCACCAGCACAGGCAAGTGCTCTTCTCCTGCTATGTCCACTACATCGTCAGTGATGATGGAAAAGAAGTGGGAGTCTCTCACTTCCCTGAGGGTTTCCTCCCGAATGCAGCTCTCACAGATCTCTAGCATCTGCTTCTGCTGTGTTTTCGAGCAGAACAATGTGTTAACTGCTGTTGTCTCAAAGCGCTTTCTCAGAACCTCTTCACCAGAATTTATCCGGCACTCCAGGAGTGCTTGAAAGTTATCCGGGGTAAAGAGACCCTCTGGGAGTCCATCAGTTTCATGCCCATCCAGAGGGATGTTTTGTTTTCCCATTAGAATTAAAATTTCAAATAAAGATTTTAAGTATTCTTTGTTTTCTTTCTCTTCAAGGGTTAGAGGTAAAATGTCTTCATCCTGTTCTTCACCCCCTTCTTCTGCACTGGGGTTCTGAGCATTGCTGTTGTTTATTTCTTTATGTTTTTGTTCCTGTTCAGAAGTTTCATCAACTGGAAAACAAAGAATCAATTTTATAAACAGGCTCATGAGGAATGATACAAACCAAAAAAATCATGTTTTTGATTGGTTAAATATTTAAATTCAGGAGCTCATCCATTCAACATTCACAACGTGCCTATTGGACCACAGACTAGGATACAGAGGTTAAAATAAGACACACTCTAGTGGAGACAAAAACTGTATACAGAGATTTTAATCCTACATGTAAATGTTACATATAAGAGAGGAACGATTTCTTACAAACTTAACAAGGCACGTCACATAAAACACGTCCAGACCAGTAACGGTCCGTGCCCTCAGGAAAAAGAGGAAGAGAACTAATATTTATTGAAGCACTGTGTTGGCATTTTATATGTATCACATTACTCCCCCTATAGGCAGGTGCTATCAATCCCGCTTGACAAATGAGGAAAGTAAATAATTGCCCAAGGTCACAGATGTAGTTAAAAGGATGAAGGTGAAATTCAAATCCAAACCTGTCTGGTTCCAAGGTCCATGCTAATGCAATTTCTATGAAATCATTAAGCTACACTTTAATATGGGAGATGAGAATTATGTAAGCCAACATAACATAAGGTATATTGACGCAATTTTTAGGGCAAATAATAGACTACTAGAAGTATTAGCCAAATCTCTTTGTACGTGGATTGAAAAACTGAGCCTCTGAGGTTAGTGTCCTGCCCATAGTCATACACACAACCTTGCAAGTCCTAGACCCTGTGGTCCCCTCTAGGTTCATTTTCTAATCATCATAGGATATTAGAAGCTCTAACAACAAAATGAGTATAATTCTCCAAATCAGGCACCCTGTTTCAAGCTACTCTACTTCTGCGCAGAATACATCTCCCTCCTTTGCCTGACTCCCTCAGGACTACTGTCAGAATTAAATGAACTAAGTAAAGCACCTAAAGACATAAACAGTTATGTTAATAAAAATAATATTAATAATAGCACAGTAGGAGGAGGAGACCGAGAAGGAGGAATAATAGTAGTAATAGACAAAAACAAAAACGACTAGCCCTCATCCTTTGGTGACACAGGTCAGGCATCAGCACCTGCAGAAAGGCTACTGTGACTCCTACTCTCTATTAGGCTAAGTGTCCTCAAAGCACTTTTCCTTAAACATTTATCAAGAACTTATGATGCACCACACATCGGGTGGACAAAGATTCTGCTCTTGTCCTTTACTGCTGCCTTTCCTTCCCTCCACGGGGACACTGTGTGCCTGCCACCCCACCACACATCAAGAGCACAGCTAGCAGGGAAGCGGCCAAGTACATGGCACAGTAGCACTCAATCAAGAAACTAAACTAAGACTTCTGTCTCACAGACAATTCCAGACCACAGGAAAATGCCTACCACACTCTTACATCACTCTCACGGTAGGTTTTGGACATAAAACATATTTATTTGTCCTTACCAGGTCAAGGCCTTTTTAAAAGGCATTCAGAAGTTCAGTCATTAACACTATCACTTACTTTTTTTCTGTTTCAGTGTCCTGATTTCATCTTCACTCTAAGTGACAAGAAAAAAGAAGAAAAAAAAAAAAAAACACCTTTAAGAAAACTGAACTCTAGCACATCACTGTAGATTCATAAGTAAAAAGCATACTGTGACTCAAATTTAATTCCTTCGAAAGCATAAATTCCTTACAATGAATACATTCTTCAAACATAGAAATGACAGAAAAACCAGAAAAATAATTTACTAATGATTCCAAGCTCATAATAAAATACTAGAGGAGACAGGGTGCCTGGGTGCTTCACTCCGTTAAGCATCCTACTCTTGATTTTGGCTCAAGTCATGCTCTCCGGGTTCGTGAGCCAGCTCCATGCTGAGAGCACGGATTCTCTCTCTCTCTGCCCTCCCCGCTTTCTCACTTTCTCAAAATAAATAAATAAACTTTATTTATTTAAGTTTTTTTAAAAACACTGAGGAGAAAGAATACATCGCTTAACTTACTTTATACTTAAATCAACTTAACTTTGGGTTACAAGTGTTTGAAAGCTAATAAAAGGCATGAAAGTACAGGATGGTGCTTGGCGTCAAATCCAAGGGGTCACAAATCATGTCCCCTCCAATTTGTTCCTGGGGGATGCCACGTAAGAGAGAGTTGCTGGATCCCAGAACCTAACACAAAAGCTGTGAGAATTCCCTGGGAAGCAGAAAGTAACACAGTACCAGTATGGAAGAGAAACGGATGCATACAGCATAGAGGGCCAAGTACATACAGGATTAAACTGAGGAAGAACTTTCCAGTTATGTCCTTTCTCTTCCTCTAACCCACTGCAATGCTTAAACCACAAACCACCCCATTACTATTCAGGAGCAGGCAAGGAGCACTACCAGTGACAGCTTGAGTTAGAAGGGTACCTGCTAGGCAGCATAGGAACATGATACTGATAACAAGAAACATCAGCAGGCTAGCCAATCTAGAACATTCCCTCCTTATCCCATGAGCTACAGTTACAAGGATGGCAAACCTATAAGAGTATGTCTGCATTAAGGTATTTGAGGTTCCCAAGGGGCAGAATACAGGGAAATGGTAGCTGGAGGATGGGAAGTGGCTGAGCTCCTCACTCCTGGTACGTAGGGCTAAGAAGAGAGCTGATGTGGAAAACTACAGTGGTGTGTCACCATTCATCTAGGAGATATCCCAGAAAAACAAATAAATAAATAGAGGGAAAGAAATGTATGAAGAAATAAAAACTGAGGATTTCTCAGAACTTAAAGGTGTCAGTCTGGATAACTAAAAAACCATCTAGACACAGGTTAGCAAAATTAAAAATGTCAAATATAAAGAAAAAATACTAAAGACTTTGAGGGAGAAAAGCAAATCATCTAAAAAGTAACAAGAATTAGGCTAGCATCAGACTTCAACAGAAATAACAAATGCAAAAACTAGAAAGAATCAGTATCACACAGACTACATATATACTCCATGAATTATTAACTTAATATTACAAAATAAAAGCTACAAAATGGTTTTAAAAAATAAACCCATGCCTGGAAACTAAAAACAAAAATAACCCTATGTTAAAGGAACAGGGGAATTTACAAAACACTCCTGACTAATCAACAAAAGCACTACATGTCTATAATTATGGGATACAGCTAAAACACACTTAGACATTTACAACTGTGAATACATACAAATATGAGCTAAACATTCAAGAAGTCAGAAAAAGACCCAAAAAATAAATCTCTCAAATCAAGATGAAACCAAATAAATCACAATATAACAATCATTGATAATACTAACTGATTTCCTTACAAACAATATTAAAATAATTTTAGGATCAGGGATGCCTGGGTGGTTCAGTCAGTTAGGCGTCCGACTTTGATTCAGGTCATGATCTTACGGTTCATGGGTTCGAGCCCATGTCTGGCTCTGTGCTGACAGTTCAGAACCTGGAGGCTGCTTCGGATTCCGTGTCTCCCCCTGCCCCTCCCCTGCTAGTTCTCTCTCCCTCCCTCCGTCATTCTCTCTAAAAAACAAACATTAAAAAAAATTTTTTTTAATAATCTTAGGGTCAGAAAAACACAAGCGCTCCAAAATCCTATATGCAGTTCTTAAAAACAAATGAAATACAAGAGAAAACCAATAAATGAATCAAAATTGCAAACAAAATATTCCCTCACCCACCCCAAGCACTCTGATGGTTTTATGGTTTAACTTTCATGAGCAGAGAGTATATACCTTATACAAGTTTTTCCAGAAAATCTGAGAGAAAAGGAAAACTATCCAACTAATTTTATAAGGCTAATAGAACCCTGACATCATTAAGTGGATAAGAGGAGTACAATGAAAGAAAATTACAGGACAACACTTATAAATGCAAAATCCTAAATAAAATATCAACCAACTAAATCAAACAAATGAAGAGAGATAATGCAATCAGTTAGGGTTCATCACAGGAATGCAAAGATGGGTTCAACACCAGAAATCCATCAGCTATTCACTACATTAAAAAAACCTGAATTTTTCTACTCAATAGATGCAGTTAAAGCTTTTGGTAAGTTCAACAAGTTATAATAAAAATTCGGAATATGAGGACTAAAAGGGAATGAAAGGAATTTCCTTAACTTGATAAAAACAGTATCAGGGGCACCTGGGTGGCTCAGTCAGTTGAGTGTCAGACTCTTGATTTTGGCTGAGGTCATTATCCCAGTGTCATGGGATTGAGCCCTGTATTGGGTTCCATGTTGAGCAAAGAGACTGCTTAAGACTCTCTCTGCCCTTCTCCTCACTAACACACACTGTCTCAAATAAAAGAAACCCAAAAAACCCTCTTTAACAGTATCAGCAACAAACATCACACTTAATGCAACAAGGCAAGCATATCATCTGTGACATTACTGGGACTGTTCAACACAGCACTTCTCAGGATCCTGACTAAACAGTAACACAAGCAACAGAAAAAATTAAAATTATGAGGATTAGAGGAGGCAAATTAGTCCTTATTTGGAGATGATAAAATCAACTTCATAGAAAACTCCAAAGACTAGTAGGAATTAACCAAAATTAGTTCTTCAAAATTGCTGGAAACAATCTCAACCAGAATACATAACCTATACCAACAAAAGCCATAATGTATTTAGGAAGTAATTTAAGGAATGTACACATTGTTCTCTTTTAAAAAACTGCAGCAAAAACCCTAAAGTTTTTTCAAATTTTTGACTTTCTGCACTCCTTAAAGTATGTTAATAGTGTATTCAAAGAACTAGTATTTAGTCTGGTCAATGGCTGCTGTTACCTGAAAGCTATTTTTTTCTGTTTATGGGTGGGACCAATTAATATTTTAAGATGTTAATCCAAAGCATTTGTGTTGAAAATCCCAATGCAATTTCTAGAAGAACTGGACGAAAGAATTCTCAAATTCATATGGCGGAATAAAGGTCCACAAGTAGCTAAGACAATTTTGAAAAAGAAGAGTTAAGAAACCACTGTATTTGCAAGTAAGATAAATTATAAAGCCATGCTAATAAAAGCAGTACATATGTGGTACTGTTGTGAACAGTGGTACATATGTGAACAAACACATTTTCCAATAAACAGAACAGAGCTCCCAGAAACACTGTGCATATATGGAAACTTGGTATATGACAGGGGTGGCACCTTAAAACCAGTGAAGGAAAGGACAGATTAACAGACCATATTGAGAAAACTGATTCTCTATAAGGAGAAAAATAAAATTAGATCTCTACTGAACACCATACATACAAAGCCCAAATGGATCAAAGATCTAAATATGAAAGGTAAACAAGGAAAAAAAGAGGAAAATGAGATAAATGTTGTCTTAAAAAAGCACACAGTAGGTAGACTAAAATGACAAATATTAAATACATTAACATGGATACCAAAAGGAGGGGGAGAAAATAGGAATGGTAATAGTGGAAGGAAGAGAAAAAATAATAAACAAAATAAGGGTCTTGCTGGTGGCAATGATGGCAGAAAGTCATGGACTGAAGAGCCTTGATTAATTTAATTTTGTTCACCTAATATCAACAAAAAGTGGTAGGTTTCAATTATTAGAACTAAAGGGTATCAACGGAACATGAAAACATGCATAAATGATGCCATAAACAGAGATTTAAAAGCTTTTTCTGACACTGTCAGTACTTAATAGTGACGGAACCATTATCTCTAGGTAAAAGTATCCATGTCTTAACTTTCATACTTTCCCTTTCTTTATCCCTTTGTCCTGAATTCTGGAAATATCCCTCAGTTCCACTTTCCTCACAACAAAAGAAAAGGTAGTGTTTTGTTTTGTTCCCAGGAAGGGAATGTGCTAGTGGCCTATAATTAACAGCACACTTTGGCCCAAGTCAATGAGTATCAACTGGCTAAATTTGAGAACAATTTTCCAATTTAAACACTAATCATCTTACATCCATCCTTCTTCAATAATAACCACAGCATTTATTTCCCATGTTACCTTCGGAAATAGAGAGTAACTTGGGTTCAATTTTAAGATGAATGCATCTATATTTGATTTCACAGTATTATGGGGGGTGGGAAAGCCAAAAGCACATTTGACATACCAATTCTTTTATTCGTTTTCTGTGTCTACTATGTGGATTGTTCAAATGACTGGTAAGATCAAATATTGTTGGTATTGCATTATCTCGAAGAACTGTCCTATAAGGACTCTGAAAAAGAAAAATGTGTTAATTCAGAGACAGTCCTTAAGAATGTATTACACATAAAGAAAATGCTATGTTAATGACTTCCCCAGTACTCCTTCAACTCCAGCTCTAAAGTGTAGAGACTTGCAGAATGATGATGTCCGTCCAGATCAGGTATTATTTCTAACTTTTTGTTTTTGCCCTTCTGGCAATCTTACTATTTTAAATTAAGGAACGAAGTTCATGGTAAGCATAAAAAATAAGATATATTTGCATTTTGCATATATATTTCTAATTCATCCTCCCAGCTACTTCACTGTTTAGCTCTTCCATGAGCCCACCAAATCTACAGCAGGCACAAGAGTTTCTCAATCTATCCCTTTCTATGTTCTTAATTCTTCCCTACTTTCCCCGTGGTTCTATCCACTTTTCACTACTATTACTGAGAAGTATCAAGGTACGATGGACTGGTGGGACCCAGGAGACCTAGGAACTAGTCCAAATTCTACCAGTTACTCACTGTGAGATCCTAGCCAAATACTTTCCCTTTCTGGGCCTCAGTTGCCTCTTCTGAATAAATTTCTAGTGTTGAACTAGACCATATTTCCCAAATTGAAATTATTCACATACTAATGATAACACTTGCATACCACCATCTGCACTCTCACATAATCCACTGACTTTTTAAGTCAGCATTGTCTTCAGCAATAAAAACTATAAAATAATGATTTTCATGAGCTATATTTTTCACACATATTGTGAAATTCCTAAAATAAAAACTGATTCATGTGCCACTTGAATTCATTTATACCATGATATATATAATCATATTTCTGCAAACACTAAACTAGGTATTTCTAAATTTCTAATTCTAATGTTCTTATCACTGAAGGATGACCATTCTCTATCCTAATTCCCGCTAACCTAATCCAACCTGGCTAGACGCTAGATGCATACTTAGATGTTGACAGTCTTCAGCAGCCAACCCAGAGGTCGGGTAGGGACAAGAATTTTATTAACAGGAAGAGTAATAGATAAATAACTGCATATGTTCACCCCAGCTAGTCAAAGAAACAATGTCTTTTAATTTCTTCACAGATGTGCACTGATAAAGACAAAATACTCTTCTTTTTAAAAAGCTTTCTTGGGCGCACCCGAGTGGCTCAGTCAGTTAAGCGTCCGACTCTTGATTTCGACTCAGGTCATGATCTCACAGTTCATGAGTTTGAGCCCTGGGTCAAGCTCTGTGCGGACAGTGCAGAGCCTGCTTGGGATTCTCTTTCTCCCTGCCTTTCCCCCCAAGCCCCTCACCTCTCTCTCTCAAAATAAATAAACTTTAAGAAAAATAAAAGAAATAAAAAGCTTTCTTGGGAGCAGCAATTATTTCAAAGCTGATTATTAAAGCATGTTCAAAGTATATGCCAAACAAAAATAACAACTCCTATCTATATTTTTTCATCCAGCGAAGGAAGATTAGGATGATATGAAGAAAAAATATATAACTAAAGGGAACACACTATCTCAAGTTTTATCTAAAGAGTTGTTAAACACATTCGGGAAGTATTTCTATTCAGATTCATTTTCTAGATCACCCCCATGCCTCATAAAAAACAAAAAGAAAATCTATTTCTCAATGCCACTCAGCTTCTAGTGCTGGGCCAATTATCCTGAGTCTACTAGGAAGTCTGAATCAGAGATTGGTCAGTGACACAATCACCGAAGGGAGCAAAAACTATACTATACCCCAAACATCTCATCTTTCCCACTTAGCAAACATGTCACAACAGACACAAACATATACAGTCCACTCTTGATATCTTACCAATTATTAAATAAGGAGGGATAAAACATTCCTAATGAATTTCTTAAATTCACATCAATTTGCTACAAACCAAATTACAGACCGAAAAACAGAACATGAATTAAAAACATGTTACTTTTTAGAAATATTTATTTATAAGTATGCATTCCAAAAAGAGCTATTTTCAATTTATGTGCAGGATAGTTTTAACTCAGTATCAAGATTTAATCTTCAACTGCTGAATTAAGGTTTGAGCATAAAGCAGTGACCTTACTCTAGCATCAAGGATAGTATCTGGCTTCAGTGGAACTAGCCATGAATGTTTACTGATGAGACCTTCAATGCCAAACTAATGAAGTCAAAACTCTCAAACATTTAGATACAGATATCATGTGTAGAGAGAACATTTTCTCGCATTTGCATTAATTTATTCAAGATTTAAGAATCTTGTGGAAATTTAAAAAGCAAAAATAGCTCATCTTTCTGTCCTATGCTCTGACTAAACAAGAATATGAGTGAACTACAATTTTACATGTCTCACAACAATCTTATTGGAATTATGTAATTAAGAGACCATATTTATTATTAAATAAAAATGCATTATGGCTTGTGTATTTAAAATAATAATTTGGGATATTTTTACTTAATGTCAAGAACATAAAAGTAGTTTGCCTTTTAAACATACAAAATCCCCTATTTTGGTTGATCATTATTACCCTCTTAACAAAACAAGGCAAAAATATCCCTCAAATATTTGTGATTAAACTGTTGAACCGGAATTGGCTCACCTCCCAATGACTTCACAAGTATCTGCTTCAATTAATTTTGAGAAATAAAATAACCCAATCATTCTTTAGTTTTCTGATGCCTCTGCAAAATGTATCTGAAAAAAATATCAAAATAAATTGCTGCATAACAATATATAGTGTATCTTCAAATCAAGTTTATGTCTATCCCAATATCTGAGATAATACATTAGTTACACCTAGGTAAGAAGATATTTAACAAAACTGTCTCCCTAGTTTAAGTGTTTCAAATCTGCTTCATTTCAATCAAATCTGCCCTGTTTAAGTCATAGCAATAACAGAATCACAGAGGGTTAAAAATCTTAGATTTCAGAAATTATCTGGTTTAATCTTCTTATTAGAATTCGGGACCCAGAAGGGAAAGTGACCTGGCCAAATTCACATAGTTAACAGAAGTAAGCTTGAGCGATCCAGGTTTGATACGAAATTGCAAATTATTGAAAGAAATTATTTTTCACATTAATTATACAATTTTCTTCTTGTTGTAACTTGCACATAAAAATTAAGGGTTGGTTCTACCAGTACATACAAAAACATGAAAACAAAGAGCTCCATTTCTTGATAAAGATTTCACTCATAAAAAAAACTCTGGAGAATCTGCTCCAAATAAAAACACAAACTTCACCTTAAACAAACACTTTTATAATCATCTAAAATTTTCTTTAAAAAATTAAAAATAAAAAAATGAAATTTTCTGAAGGCTGCATAAGAAATGTAAAAAGGGCAACCTCTGTTGAGTAGTAATGGGGCATCAGAAACAGAGGGGTTAAAAAAATACCAGGCATTTAAGAACAAATTAGATACTATTCAGCTCCAAATTTGTCTTCATCTTCAAAAAAAAAAAAAAAAAAAAAAAAAAAAAAAGTGGCGGGATATAAGAATACACTCCAACATTAACAGATACAGATTTACACTGCCAACCAGATACTGAGTGAATGAGAGAGAGAGAAAACAAAAAAACCCCAAGCCCTTCTATTACTTACAGTTCTGCAGATCATAGAGGTCTCAAAGTGTTTGGCACATAATCGATAATGTTTATTTAGCTGATCAGGTGTTTTATCTTCTAAGTCTGCTCTCCTGCAATTCTCCACCCACTTCTGGCACCTATAAATAAAACCAAAATAAAACCAATTATGAAATATGAGCTCACCATTTAAATTTCAGTATTCGGGGCACCTGGGTGGGTCAGTTGGTTGAGCGTCCAACTTCAGCTCAGGTCATGATCTCGTGATTCGTGGGTTCGAGCCCCAAGTCAGGCTCTGTGCTGACAGCTCAGAGCCTGGAGCCTGCTGAGGATTCTGTGTCTCCCTCTCTCTCTTCCTCTCCCCTGCTCATGCTCTGTCTCTCTGTCTCTCTCAAAAATAAACATGAAAAAAAAAATCTTTTTTAAATAAATAAATAAATTTTAGTATTCAGTTATAAGACAAATAAATATTATGGACAATGGATTCCTGCTCCCTTCTACCTGCAGAACATGATGTAATTTGGAGAAGATGACTGAAAACAAAATGAGAGCTGGAAGAAACCTTAGAAATCATTTAATACATTCAATTATAGACAAGATTAAGAAATAACTTGCTCAGAGTCATGTACAAAATCAGCAGCAAAACTAGAACTTAAACCTGAGTCTTTCAATTCTCAGCACATCCTAGCACCAGAGAGGAATCAATTATCAGTAGTTCAAGCAAAAGTTGCACAACCATGAAGTCAACAGCCTAACACACTCCCTCGGGACTTCAACTTAAATAAGGTTATGAAACAACAATGCCATTGCAAAAAATTAGTAAATAGATGTTTTATAAATAATTACAGTTTCTTACAGAAGCATGACGCCTGTGTTAATTTGCCTTATTATGAGCATAATTTATTATCTACAATATGTACAGACTGTAAGATATGTAGATTGTTAAGCTCCAGGACTACAGGGATTGTTCCTACACAATCTAGCACACAGAAGGTGTTGAAGATAATGAACAGACCAAGTCGATGCCCTCTTGCTACCTACATATCTGCAGAAAAACAAAAACAACAATGATGCATATTAAGCACTTGCTATGAGCCAGACACTGTTCTATGTCCTTTCCAAAAGGGGTACATTATCCCCCTTATGCAGATGAAGAAATGAAGGCACAGAAATATGAAGTAATTTCCTAAAGGTTACAACTAGATCTTTCTTTCCTTTATTTCTCAAGTTTCTAGGAATAAAAATTCTGTCACAAAGAGTCACAAATCTGAAAACACATTCATTTTATAATCACATCATAGTATATTATGTCTTAACATTACAGTTCACACCTACACACATACACACACACACACACACACACACACACACACACACTGACACTTAATTCCCTCCACTCTGAATATGTAAAACCATGGTGAAATGTTGATTATCTAACTGAAACTAAAACCACACCTAAATAGTATAGCTTCTCATTCAACCAAGTATTATTGCACAGCAATGATGCCTAAGATGTCCATATTTTAATATTTTGCACAGTTGTGCAATATGATTTCATAAACTTTCATCTTTCAACATCCAAATACTTAGTATAAAAACTGTCTTACTATAAAATAATTTGCCATACTGTTACAGCTGTTTTTTAATTCTTACATCTCTGAAGATCTTCGATACAGAATACTACTGTCTGTATGATCTCTGAACTAAGTTGAGACAGCTTTCCTATACCACAAGCACTCAGATTCAATCAAGAATAGATTGGGCAGAAAGCCCGATTAACTACATCTTGTCTTCCACATCAAATACCAAGAAGTAAATCTAGTATATGTGCTGCCGAAGTGAACACACCAAGAAGTAAATCTAGTGAAAGATGTGTAAGACCTGTAACAAAAAAAAAAAAAATTTTAAGT